GATTCAGCACATCAAAATTAAAGAATCCAAAGAATTCAATTTTTGATGAAATCAAACAAAGTTTAATTTTGGACCCTTTTGACCTTAATGTGGACCAATTTGATAACGGGGCCCAAAATCAAAATACATGATTAGATTCAGCATATCAAAGAACCCCATATATTCAATTTTTGTTGAATTAAACAAAGTTTAATTTTGGACCCCAACTTGGACCAACTTGAAAACTGGGCCCATAATCAAAAATCTAAACACATGTTTAGATTAAGCATATCAAAGAACCCCAAGAATTCAATTTTTGTTAAAATCAAACTAAGTTTAATTTTGGACCCTTTGGACCTTAATGTAGACCAATTTAAAAAACGGGACCCAAAATAAAAATCTAAATACACGGTTAGATTTAGCATATCAAAGAACCCCAATAATTGTTCATTAACCATTACTTTATACATAATTTAAAAGCAGTGTAAGGGAGGTAATTCAAATATTGTATGTGATTTATCTCCCTTACACTGCTTTAAATTATGTTTTGTACTAAAGTATTTGTCCATTAACCAGGACAACCTTTTTTTTCCCCCTTTTTTGCCCCTAATTCCTAAACGGTTTGAGCCATAACCCCCCAAAAGCAAATCCTAACCACTCCTTTGTGGTATGGAAACTTGTGGTATAATTTCAGAGAGATCCATACACCGTTCCACAAGTTATTGTCTGGAAACTAGAAAATGCTTATTTTTGGCCCCTAATTCCTTAACTGTTGGTACTATAACCCTTATGGTAAAATTTCATAGAGATCCATTCACTTAAACTAAAGTTAGAGTGCGAAAACCAATGTTTCTTTGGACGACGCCAACGTCATACCAATATACGACCCCAAAATTTTTTTGAGGTCGTATAAAAACTTTAACCACAGAGTGAATGTAATGTTTCCTGGCAGAAAAACTAAGTCCATTAAGAGGTAAATTACGGAAAAAATGGAATTTTTTTTTTACAAAATTTACTTCTGGATACTATTTTATGATCATAAACAAGCTTCTGTCCTAGTTTGGTAGAAATCCTGGATAGTTTAAGAAAGTTATTAAAATTTAAAAAACATTAACCACAGAGTGAATATTTGTGGACGCCGCCGATGACGACACCAACGGAATGTAGGATCGCTATGTTTCGCTTTTTCAACAAAAGTCGAAGGCTCGACAAAAACATAAAATTAAGGAGTATATTGTGAAAGGTGACAAAAAAGGGGAAGTGACTCAAATTTATTGTCAAACAACTTTGAAATAGACAAATTATTTATGACCTTTAGCTAAGGTAATTGGTGTTAATTTAACAGTGTGTTTGACACCAAAGCTGTCAAGTGAAGCCATGCACTTAATGGGTCACATAATTTGACAGTTAACACAGCTACATGTATTTGAACCTCCTGTCCATACCTGCCAACTTTTCAAAATCTCTATGGGGGATTTTGAGCACAAGAGGAACTAATGCATACCTAAACAAGTCATTAGTGTACTTAATTAGAACATCTATGGTTTTGAATGAGTATACATGTGTTTAAATGTATTTTTTTACACCTGTGAATGCCTTTTTAGCTCACCTGGCCTGAAGGGCCAAGTGAGATTTTCTCATCACTTAGCGTCCGTCTTCCGTCGTCATTAGCTTTTACAAAAATCTTCTCCTCTGAAACCACTGGGCCAAATTTAACCAAACTTTGCCACAATCATCATTAGGGTATCTAGTTTAAAAAATATGTCCGATGACCCAACCAACCATGATGGCCGCCATGGCTTAAAATAGAACATTGGGGTAAAATGTAGATTTTGGCTTATATCTCTGAAACCAAAGCATTAAGAGTAAATTTGACAGATTATCAGGTCAAGATCTATCCGCCCTGAAATTTTCAGACAAATCTGACAACCCGTTGTTGGGTTGCTGCCCCTGAATTGGTGATTTTAAGGAAATTTTGCAGTTTTTGGTTATTATCTTGAATATTATTATAGATAGAGATAAACTGTAAACAGCAATAATGTTCAGCAAAGTAAGATCTACAAATAAGTCGTTATGACCAAAATTGTCAGTCGACCCCTTTAGGAGTTATTGCCCTTTATAGTCAATTTTTAACAATTTTTCGTAAATTTTTGTAATCTTTTACAAAAATCTTCTTCTCTCAAACTACTGAGACAAATTAAATCATACTTGGCCTTAATCATAATTAGGGTATCTTGTTTAAAAAATTTGTCTGATGACCCTGCCTTCCAACCATCATGGCCGACATGGTTAAAAATAGAACATAGGGGTAAAATGCAGTTTTTGGTTTATATCTCTGAAACTAAAGCATTTAGAGCAAATCTGACAGATGGCAAAAATGTTCATCAGATTAAGATTTATCTGCCCTGAAATTTTCAGACGAATCGGACAACCAGTTGTTGGGTTGCTGCCCCTGAGTTAGTAATTTCACAGAAATTTTGCAGTTTTTTGTTAGTATCTTAGATATCATTATAATATCTAATATCTAATACTATTAATTATGATTTTAACCTTATTTTACATGATTTCCAAAGCATCAGTAAATACAGGTGAGCGACATAGGCTCTTGAGAGCCTCTAGTTTAAGGTATTTAGTCTAAATAATTCAGTTTTATAAGGGTCAGGTCCACACCTTTCATGGGAAAAATCCCCCATAAAGCGGGAAAGTTGGCAGGTCTGCCTGTCCAGGAAGTATTACGAATTTGCTGGTATTTCAAAGGAAAATCACTTATGAAATCAGTCTAACGGCTCAAGAATCCTGGATGAAAACGGGTCATTTTCTGAATTCACGGGTTATTTAACGACCCAGCGGGTATTTAAAAAATCCCGGGTATGAAGTGAAATTCTCGGGTGTGACCCGCAGGATACTGGTCAGTTGACAGGTATGGTAACACTGAATGTGGATTAACTTTTGATATTGAAATTTTTCTGGTTTGTCATTGGACTTGACAGTCATATTTGACACTGTGTATATCGGGCATGGGGTAATGTTAATTTGTAATTGTAATGCCCTGTAATGCTTTACATTTTACCAAGTAATGCATGTCATGTGTAATGCCCAAATTTTAGCATTACATGTTCAATATTGTAATGTAATGTATTGAACTGTTTCATGGTTAATTAGTCAAAGTTTAGTTTCCTTGGATAGTTCTTTTCCATATCATAGATACTATATTTGGTGAATGGAATGATTGTAAGGTGTAGATGTTCCTCTCTGATATGATTTATCTGACTTTTATCTCATTTACATGGATCAGTGATATTGTTGTTATACCCCACGCAACGAGTTGCGGAGGGTATAATGTTTTTGACCCGTCTGTCCGTCCGTCAGTCCGTCAGTCCTGTTTCTTGTCATCGCAACTCCTCTCAAACCACACAACAGAATTTCACGAAACCTTTTTAGATAATAAGGACATATTATGTAGTTGTGCATATCAACAGGAAATTGCAATTCAATTTTTTTTCTAGGAGTTACGCCCCTTTGAACTTATTTACTTTAATGTACTACTGCAACAGTTTGTCATCGCAACTCCTCTGATACCACACAACAGAATTTCATGAAACCTTTGTAGATAATAAGGACATACTATGTAGATGTGCATATTGACAGGAAATTATGATTCAATTTTTTTTCTAGGAGTTATGCCCCTTTGAATTTATTTGCTTCAAAGTACTTCTGCAACAGTTTGTCATAGCAACTCCTCTGAAACCACACAACATAATTTCATGAAACTTTGTAGATAATAAGGACATACTATGTAGATGTGATTATTGACAGGAAATTATGATTCAATTTTTTTTTCTTATACAATTTTTTTTTCTTACACATATTTTATTTCTCCAATCACAATGTGGGGACGTGGGGTATGTGAGCGCGCTCACTAAGGTTCTTTAATTTTTAAAGCAATTGCTTTTATGCTATAATGAATCTTTCATATTTGTGACGTAGAATCCTGCATGGGGATACCAAACTGGTCGAAGTACAAAATTTATATTCTTCTTCTGCTATGATAAATTTCCTGTGTTTTTATAATTAATCAATTTAGAACAAGTTAAAGTCAAAGACAATGGTGGACTAGTAAAGTTTCAAAACAATCATTTATAGATGGATTTCGAATTTTTCATGTTTTTCGATTGACTTAGATGAATTAAGTCAAAATTTGAGTGCTTTTTATCAGTGTCATTCCCATTCTTGTTACTCGTAGTGCTAATTGTGTGAAATAAAATTAAGAACTAAAGCTCATTGAACTTGTAGACGGGTCATATGATATTTCAAAGAAACAACTGTTTATGCCAAAGAACAGAAGTATTTTGTTTTCTTTAGGCACTCGCAACTCCAGCGTACATCAAAAGATTCTAATTTTTGGCAAAATGATGCTTTACTTCATTAAAACATGATAATAATGGCCCTCAGTAATTAGGTTTGATCCATTTATTGCATTTTTAACATTTAATGCATGTAACTATAAATGTCAATTTAGGACATAAACTGAGACAACTGTTACTGTAATGGTATTCTCAGACATAAAATGAAATTGGATTTGAACAATACAAAAAAAATTCAAATGTTAAGATATAGACTTAACATTATAGCGCAATGACTGACCAAGCACTTCTCTTTTAAGTCTCACCACTTCTGCTTATCAATTTCAAAAAGAGAATTCACTTCTTCAATTGTCTCCTAATGATACTGAGTTAGTTAAAATCAATTGTCAATAGTCTTTTCTGTATTTGATCAATATAATCTCCTGACTGCTGTACTGGTATAATATTTTTATATACAGATAAAAACCTAGTATAAATCACAAAAACATCGACTTAGCGGCAACTGCTTTGTAGCGCTCTAGTGCTTTGATTATAGAATACTTGTTGTATAACCCTTTTTTCTTAGGCTTTCAACATGAATTCAATCATGATCGGTAAGTCAAGCATGAATTTCAGTGTGCACTCTTTTATTAAACATTTGTATACTTATTTTTTTAGGAAACGAGAAACTACTGTCAGAAAGTGGACATTTGTACGGGATTCAGAATCAGTTGCCGAGGTAATATCAAGTAAAGTGCATAAAGTGACTTGGGGCATACATGTAGTGGTAACATATAAAAATAAGGAGGTGTTCATGTGGTAGGATTGCCAATGACAATGAATGAGAACAACTTTCCACAAGAACCAGGATGTACACAACTATAGGGCACTGTATGGTCTTCAGCAGTGTTTATTTCATTTATTTTGTTATTATATATATACCTCACACATTTAAAAAACTTTCTTGAGTGGAGAAATATCGTATCATGCTTGATGCAGTGGTAGAATCTATATATGTGTACCATTAAAACGTTTAATCCCGCTGCAAATGTTTGCACCTGTCCTAAGTCAGGAATCTGATGTACAGTAGTTGTTGTCTGTTTATGTAGTTCATACGTGTTTCTCGTTTCTCGTTTTTATATAGATAAGACCGTTGGTTTTCCCGTTTGAATGGTTTTACACTAGTAATTTTTGGGGCCCTTTATAGCTTGCTGTTGGATGTGAGCCAATGCTCCGTGCTGAAGGCTGTACCTTGACCTATAATGGTTTACTTTTATAAATTGTCACTTGGATGGAGAGTTGTCTCATTGGCACTCATACCACATCTTCCTATATCTATCATGTCTATAGGATGTAATTTTTGTGAATTTTTTTTAAGGGATAATTATAAATGTGAATTTTTTTATTCAATTACAAATGATTTATTCCTATAATCTATATTAAAAGAAAATTGCATAGAATAACATTATAAACATCTGCGACCTTTTTTCACGAATAAATAATGCTGGAAATTTGTTAACAGTCCTCTTCATAAGCAAATCACAACAAACAGTACTTATGGAACAACATATAAAAAGATGCAATCTTGATAATGCCATACAGGAATATATTGAAACATTTTTTGGTAGGTGGTGCAATATTTTGTCTCTCCTGTTACCATATTTAAAAGAAATTTCAGGTTATTTAGAAAAGTTTTTGATAAAATTTTAAGCTTGTTTTTCATAGCCAATAAGATGGTTTTCAAGAGTAAAAACTGCTATATATTATCATTCTGTGTAATGATTGATTATTTGTCAATTTTCCATGTTGTACAGAAAAATACCTCTAAAAATTTGTTTTCAAAGGTCATAAAAATAACCACCAGCAATGCAAGTCTGAGAAAGCAATTCATAATGTTTAGCACTTTTTTATGCCCCCGCCATGGCGTAGGGTGCATTAAGTTTTAACCTTGTCTGTACGTCCCGAAATTTGCGTTCGTATATTGCTATCATGTCGACATCTGAAGACATTAGGTTTCCGGACAATAACTTTAGTATAAGTGAATGGATCTCTATGAAATTTAACCACAAGGTTCAATAGCACAAAAGGAAGATTGGGATAGATTTTTGGGTTTATGGTCCCAACTGTTTAGGAATTAGGGGTCAAAAAAGGCATTTTTCTAGTTTCCGAACAATAACTTGTGTATAAGTGTATGGATCTCTATGAAATTGTACCACAAGGTTCCATACCACTAAGGGAAGGTTGGGATTGACTTTGGGGATTATGGCCCAAACCGTTCAGGAATTAGGGGCAAAACAAGGTTTTTCTGGTTAATGGATAATTACTTAAGTATAAGTCTATGGATCTCTATGAAATTGGAACACAAGGTTCCATACCACACTATATTGGATATTTGGACATTTTTAAATAGGTCTACATTGAGGTCCAAAGGGTCCAAAATTAGACTTTGTTTGATTTCATCAAAAACTGAATTCTTGTGGTTCTATGATTGCTGAATCTAAGTGTGCATTAAGATTTTTAATTTTGGGCCCTGTTTTCAAATTAGTCCATATTAAGGTCCAAAGGGTCCAAAATTAAACTTTGTTTGAATTCATGGTTTGTTTTTTTTTATATGCTGAATCTAACCATGGAATTAGATTTTGGATATTGGACCATTAAGTAGATTAAATGTCCCATTTCAAATTTTTAAGTTATCTGACCACATTTATTCTGTGTCAGAAATCTATAATGTGTCAAATATTTAATCACTATCCAAATTCAGAGCTGTATCAAGCTTGAATATTGTGTCCATACTTGCCCCAACTGTTCAGAGTTCGACCTCTGTGGTCGTATCCAGCTGATAACAGGAATGTATGTTAACGATATACCACCATATCAAGTTCTTTGCTGTTACCCTTTTTGTCTATCCTGTTGCCAATAGCAGTATTGCATCAGTATATGCTAAATTGCAAGGATTAAGACGACGTAACCTTTAAATGAATTCAAACAACCAAACATTTCATTATGTGTAAAACTATATGTAATTATAAACTTTTTAAAGACATTTCTGTCAAATATTGTCTGTCCTGTTCAGGCATGGGGTAATCGTAATCAGCTGTAATCAATTACATTTTGCAATGTAATCACATGTAATCATTAATCATGCAATTTTTAATTACAAGTAATCGTAATTTAATCGATTACAATGTAAAAATCAGGTGTAATCATGATTACTTTAAGATTACTTTAAGACAACATCCATATGATTACTTGCTGATTACAAATTTTGTATATATAATAGTTTTTGTTTCGCCGCAACCAAAGTCGCAGTATGGGAGACATAGGTATTACTATCCGTTGGGGGTGGCGGCGTAAACTATTTGTATAAAGCTTTATATTTCAGAAGGTAGAAGACCTAGATGCTTCATATCTTGTATACAGATACCTTATGTTACAAAGTTTCTGTCAAATATATGTCCATTGTTGTTGACCTCATTTTCATGGTTCAGCGACTGCCTGGAAAACAATTTGAGTTTTTTTGTCATGTGAATTTCTCACTTATTATGAGTAATAGGATAAATATATTTGGTGTATGGGTTCCTTGCAACGTCTACATGTCCGTCAGACAGAGTTCACCTGACCTCAACCTCATTTCATGGACCAGTGATCAAGGTTAAAGTTACGTGATTAGGTCCGTTTCTCAAATACTAAAAGCAGTAGGTCAACTATATTTGGTGTATGGAATGATTGTAATGTGTACATGTCAGTCTGGCAGGTTTCATCCAACCTTGACCTCATTTTCATGGTTCATTGGTCAATGTTAAGTTTTTGTGTTTTGGTCTGTTTTTCAAGTACTGTAATCAATAGGTCAACTATATTTGGTGTATGGAATGATTGTAAGGTGTACAAGTCTGTCTGGTAGGTATCATCTGACCTTGACCTCATTTTCATGGTTCATTTGTCAATGTTACGTTTTTGTGTTTTTGTCTGTTTTTCAAGTACTATAAGCAATATAGGTCAACTATATTTGGTGTATGGAAAGATTGTAAGGTGTACATGTCTGTCTGGCAGGTATAATCTGACCTTGACCTCATTTTCATGGTTCATTGGTCAATGTTAAGTTTTTGTGTTTTTGTCTGTTTTTGAAGTACTATAAGCAATAGGTCAACTATATTTGGTGTATGGAAAGATTGTAAGGTGTACATATTTGTCTGGAAGGTATCATCTGACCTTGACCTCATTTTTATGGTTCAATGGTCAATGTTAAGTTTTTGTGTTTTGGTCTGTTTTTCAAATACTAATAGCAATAGGTCAGCTATATTTGGTGTATGGAATAATTGTAAGGTGCACATGTCTGTCTGGCAGGTAAAGTCTGACCTTGACCTCATTTTCATGGTTCATAGGTCAATGTTACGTTTTTGTGTTTTTGTCTGTTTTTCAAGTACTATAAGCAATATAGGTCAACTATATTTGGTGTATGGAAAGATTGTAAGGTGTACATGTCTGTCTGGCAGGTATAATCTGACCTTGACCTCATTTTCATGGTTCATTGGTCAATGTTAAGTTTTTGTGTTTTTGTCTGTTTTTGAAGTACTATAAGCAATAGGTCAACTATATTTGGTGTATGGAAAGATTGTAAGGTGTACATATTTGTCTGGAAGGTATCATCTGACCTTGACCTCATTTTTATGGTTCAATGGTCAATGTTAAGTTTTTGTGTTTTGGTCTGTTTTTCAAATACTAATAGCAATAGGTCAGCTATATTTGGTGTATGGAATAATTGTAAGGTGCACATGTCTGTCTGGCAGGTAAAGTCTGACCTTGACCTCATTTTCATGGTTCATAGGTCAATGTTAAGTTTTTGTGTTTTGGTCTGTTTTTCATTAGCATATGCAATAGGTCAACTATATTTGGTGTATAAAAAAATTGTAAGGTGTATATGTCTGTCTGACACAATTTATCTGACCTTGACCTCATTGTCATAGATTTTTAGCTCCTGGCCCAAAGGGCCATGTGAGCTTATGCCATCACTTGGCGTTCGTTGTCGTCTGTCGTCTGTCATCGTTGTCATGAACTATTTCAAGAATCTTCTCCTCTGAAACTACTGGGCCAAATACCTTCTACTTTAACTGAATGTTCCTTAGGGTATCTAGTTTATAAATTGTATCTGAAGTTTTGATCCATCAACAAACATGGCCGCCATGGCTAAAAATAGAACATAGGGGTCAAATGCAGTTTTTGGCTTATATCTCAAAAACTAAAGCATTTAGAGCAAATCTGGTATGGGGTAATAATGTTCAATAGGTCAATTCTATCAGCCCTGAAATTTTCAGACGAACCGAACAACCCATTGTTGAGTTGCTGCTACTAAATTGGTAATTTTAAGGAAAGGTTATTATCTTGAATATTATTGAAGATAAAGATAAGCTGTCAACAGCAAAAATGTTCAGCGAAGTAAGATCTACAAAAAAGTTTATATGACCAAAATTGTCAATTGACCCCTTAAGGAGTTATTGCCCTTTAAAGACAATTTTACACAATTTGTTCATCATGTTTGCTAGCATTAAAACATCTTCTCCTCTGAAACTACTGGGCCTAATACTTCTAAACTTAAACTGAATGTTCCTTAGGGTAACTGGTTTATAAATTGTGTCCGAAGTTTTGATACATTAACAAACATGACCGCCATGGCTAAAAATAGAACATAGGGGTCAAATGCAGTTTTTGGCCTTTATCTCAAAAACTATAGCAGTTAGAGCA